GAGTTCTTGAGCTGGAGCTCACTTGCAGTAAAGAGTGTTAAACATTTTTTCTTGCTTAAAATTACCATAAAAGGAAATTTTTTTGGCAAAACGGACGTGATCAGGAGAGAGTTTTTTTTTTTGTAATATAATTTATATAAGTAGTGTTTTTATATAATATATAATAATAATTGTAATAATATATCATGTAATAAGAGTTGAAGTAATCTATTGTGGTTAATGGCAATAACAAAAATTATTATGGTATACTATAATTGATATTATATACTGTATATATTTTTATTATTATAAAAAAAAATTTGATTAATAATATAATTTTTAATTAAATATAATTCTTAATTATTTATTAATTAAATATAATTCCTAATTACTTATTGATTATTATTTAATAATATAAACATAATACAGTTTTTGAAAAATGTTTAAATTAAATATAAATATATATATGGTTAATATTGATAATAATTCTGATGATATTTTATGTATTAATAATAGTAGCAACTATATATATGATAAAATTGAATTTAAACATTTTTCAAAAATTATATTACTATATATAATAAATATTGATAATATAATCACATGTATTTTTTAAATTGTAATGTAAATAAATTTGCTTGTATATTTAAAATTTTAATAAGTTTTTAAAAATTTTGATAAAATTTTAAATATTAATTTTTATAAGTTACTTATATTATAAAAAATATAGTTTAAAATATTTTTTATTAATTTTATTAAATAAAAATCAAAATTTTATTTGAATTTTTAAAATAAATAACTTATAACTTTGTGTTTAAAATTTTAATATAAAAAATTATATAAAATTTAATATACATTTAAAATAAAAAAATTATTTTACTTCTAATATAAGTTAAAATTTTTATAATTAAATTATCAAAATTATAATAATTAAAATTATTCTTTACAAATAATTTTACAAAATTGATTATGAAATATAAGAACTTAAAAACTTTTAAGTTTGTCTAAGATTAACTTTTATTAAAAAAATTTTTTCTAAAAATTAAAAATTTTGCTTATAATTAACTTTAAATTTTTATTAAATAAATAAAAAATAAATACTATCAATATATAATATATAATTAAAACTAATATTATATAAATTTTTAGAAAAATATTTTGATTATTTAAAAAAATGAATGAAAAGCAATTTTTTAGTTAGAAAAATTTAAACATTATAAAAAAAATGCTTTCTGATTTAAGGAATAAAAAAAAACAAAATCTAAAGAATTTTTTTATTTGGGTAATTATTTTTGAAGGCAGACCAGAAATTTTCTGATGGGATCCTGAAATTTATACTATATATGTATTGTTTAAAAGTTGGGTCAGAAAAAATCATATCTAGCATTTTTGATGCCTTCAAAAATAATTACCCATTTATAAAATTTAATCATTATCATCACTCAAAAATCAGTTAATTCAAAAAAACCAATTTATTATTGCAAGAGAAAATTCAGAAAAAAAAAGTTTTTCCTTTAATAAAAATTCAATAAAAATTTAAAAAAAAAAATTGTGTAAAAATTCTTTTTCGAAAAATAATGTCTTAAGGAATTAAACTAAATTAGAGTTTTTTTTAATAAAGTATAATTAATAATGGTAATGATTAATCGTCATGATCTCTTCAAAATAAATAATTAATCGTCATGATCTCTTTCAAAAAAAAATAATAATCAAAAATCGTCATGAGTAAATTAAAAGTCGTGATACTGATACCGCACGATTTTCTTATTTTCCTTTGAATTTCTGTTAAGAATAGAAAAAACTTGATAATGATGATGCCAATTTTTTCCCAAAATGTAAATTATTAATTTATCCAAAACCACCTTTATCATCTACCGCATATCATATCATGGGTATTGTTTGAAAAAAATTTTTTTTTTTGTTTCTTTCTAGTCCGAGACACCATACAATAATTATGATTAGTTGAATTCTAATAATGTAATTAATGAAGCGACAGTTTCAAGTCGAATCAAAAGGATTTAATTAATCCATTATTTCGTTACAAAGAATATTGAATAATTAGAAGCTAAACCAATGGGGAGCCGATTATGTGCCGTAAGTTAGACCCCCTGAAATTTTCTTGTGACACAGCTGGAATTTTTTATTATTATTACTATTATCGTTATCGCTATCGGTTTATCAACGGGTGTCGCGTCGGGTGTGAACGTTAATACTCATGACTGGGTCATGAGTGACGGGAACCGTACTTCCCACACTTAAAAGAATCGTTGTTTGTACTTTCGATTCAGGAAAATTACTGGAAGGTTGACTGAAATGGGCACAAGAGTTCCATTGTGATTTTTCTTTTTTTTAAAAAAACAAAGACAAGGTTCAAAGAGACAGGTAACATAATATGGACTCTAATGGTCCTTCTGCGGTGTGTGTAAAATTTTTACTTTATCACCACATAATTAACTTCAGCCCTTTTTTTTTTTTGTGCATACGATTTGACTTTTATTGTCTCTAATAAAAACTCTCATGATAAAGTTATATATATGTGATGTAATGTAAAGAGTTAATTGTATTGCGGTTTGGTTTACCGACCATTCCGATTTTGTTTCTGATTTAAAAGTTAAATATATTTTTTTAAACTATCATACAGTAAAGTGTATAGTTTTCTATTGACAGAGTGACAGACAGACAGACAGACCCTTTGACTAGAATCGGGATATAAAAAAACCCAGAATCCTTTTCCGTCCAATTTGTTGTCCCTTTGTCCCTTTTTGTTCAAGCCAACTGTTTGGAACTTCATCAGAAACAATAAAAATATTTCGTTTTTCCCTCTTCCATCTAATTTTTTCATCTTATTTTAAACTCGGCTACTGAAAATCGAGGCTCAAAGGTTATCCAGGAACACAGGTTCATCGAAAAAAAAAACGAGGTAATTTTTTGTCTCATTTCTTCTTCTTCTTCTCTTTCCCTTCTCTCCTGGTTGAGCACCTCTACGCTGAGAATTGTTAGTTTTGCTCTTTCGATTGCCACAATTAATCTGCAATGTGCGTGACCGACATCAAACGATGCCAACTTCTCCTTTCACATACACACCAAAATTTGAGCAATTCCTCAAACTAAAAGGGTTCAATAGAATTGACCATTTTTTTACACGCATGTATCCGACTCGTCTTTGCTCTTTATCTTTTCGAATCTCCACGGCGTCCCTTATAATTTCCGATTTGCCGAATCCCATTCATTCATCCGTCACACAATCCTTACAATTCACCATTTGGGGTTTCATTATTAAAGGAATGGACACTCTCAGAGTACGGTGGTACTGTTTAATCATACTACCAGAACGTGAAATATTTTCCAACATAACATAATTGAATTTTCATTATTAGCGCATTGCAGATTATTGGCAATATTGATTTCCATTTTTACTCATTTATATACATGCATTGTATTACGTTAATGTGAACACGACATATCGTTATTCACATGAGCACGTGACACATGATGCAATAACTCCAACCATTTGCCAAGGCAGACCATAACCGAACTTTCTGGTCTTCATTTCCTTTTTTTTTTTTCTCACTTACTTTTTACGCATACAGACTACGCAAAAAGGTTACCATAGTTCCACTCACTGCCAAAAAGACCACCTATAATTTTTGAATGCATACAACAGATATGAGCGGTCTTGCGAGTCCAAATATTCAACGAAAGCAGAGTAACGCTTCAGGTCATAGCGCCGACCTATCTGAACAGTCTACCCCTCGAGGAACCAAACGAGAACACGAAGATGATGAGGAGCTCGACTCCGGCGAAGAAGAAATCGGAACCAAAAGCGAGAAAAGAGCCGGTCGTCGCAAAATAAAAATAGAATATATCGATGACAAGAGCAGACGCCATATTACCTTCAGCAAACGAAAAGCCGGAATAATGAAGAAGGTATGCAGAGAGAGAAACGTTCAAACATCTGATATTTATATACCGAAAATAAAATAAAACCTTATTGTGACCTTGTTTGTTTTTAACCTTTTTAAAGGTTAGATATGCTTCGTGTAAACTTGCATATTATCACCCCTTGCCTTATTTGTCTTTCTGTTTAAATTAAAATTTCCTCTTTCGTTCAGCGAGTTAACTAATCTTCGTGTACAAATCCACCATATTTTTAGGCATACGAGCTCAGCACCTTGACTGGAACTCAGGTCTTGCTTTTAGTTGTGTCAGAAACCGGTCTGGTGTATACGTTCACCACACCAAAGCTCCAACCCCTCGTCACCAAACCTGAGGGAAAAAATCTCATTCAAGCCTGTTTAAATGCTCCAGATACGCCTTCGGGACAAGAGTCACCTAATACGGTATATATAAAACATATTATTTCTCCTGATACTGCTCGCGCAAAACAAACATCGTAAAACCTGTCGTCTCCAAAATTCTTTTTTAGTCTATGTAACATTGTTTTAATTAATAAAGCCGACTGGGCCTCTCTGAACCTTTGTGATGTGATGATTAAATAATTTATTTTTACTTGCTTTTTTTTTCATTACCATTTTCATTTTCGTCTCCGCACGCAACGCACCGTTCTCCAACAGACGCGTTCCACACAAAACTCCTCGGTATACGGAAATGACAATTCCCCGTCCGTAGATAACAACAATAACAACGACGCCTACGACAATGATAGAAAGGTATGTATCTTGTCTCTGTATTAGAATGTATCATTTGAAATTTTTCACATGACAGTTCACAATTTATTCATTCGTCCATCCATCCATCACCTCCCAAAGCCTCAGACACCCGGAAATCAGATGTCACAACCTCAACCTTATACCATTGGTTTAAATCCTTACAATCAATACGGTGGAATTACTAATGGTATGACGTTGGGTACCGGTGGTATCGCTGCACCGCCATACATGTCCACCGGTTATCCGCAATACAATCAACAGGCTCATCTGAACCAGTACGCAGCATCGAGTAACGCGTACGTACAATCGGCCACAGGATACTGGCCCGCAAGCGCTACGAACGGTAACAAGGTGCCACAATATCCGAACCAAACGTCCGAAAAGAAATGATGATTTGTTTTCTCCTTCCTAAAGACTTCAAACAGTCATCTTCACGTACCCTCGTATTACATACCTTGGTTGGTTTTGGCTCCTTTACGTACATTTTGTAATCACAATATTAAAATTCATCTCATTTGATATGTGATGATGATTGTTAATATATATATATCTTTTTTTTTTTTCTCTTTCTTTCTTTCTCTCTCTTTTTTTCCTCTCTCTCCTCTTTAAAAAAAAAGAGGTACGACGATTTATATAGTCTTCGCCATTACCACAAAAAATACTTCGCAATGTATCATTTCCTTTCCATTCCACTCGATGATGTAAAAAGAAAGAAAAAAAAAAAAGAAAATTATAACAAATTCATCGTTTGGTTGTTAATACTTTATAAAAAATTACCTTCTTTTTCGTTTTTTTTTTCTCCTCGCCTTTCAAATTACTCAATAACAAGAAAGCCGCCTGCCTACACATACCCTTTTTTTCGAGAAAAGTCCACACCACCACCATACATTACGTATTCCTTGTTGACAAGGGATATTGTCCCTTTCTTTTATCTACTTTCTATTTTTCTTGGTTTTTTTATTAGGTCATGAGCGATAAATCATTCGGTCGAGGATTTGTTATATATATATAGGTAGTGTGCGCAAACAATGCATTCTTGGTGCGAAGAAAAAAAAAAAAAGAAAAATTTTTTTCTTTTCATGTTTTGGAGACCGAATGATTGATATATAAATAAATAAAAGACATAAAAACATTTTACACATTACATATGCGTGCGTGCGTGAAGGTTTTTGTGAGTTTGGGTGGTGGGAGAAAGTTTGAACAAATTCCGCGACCCTGGATAGGGATAATGTGGCTTCTATCTAACTAACTTTATTAATATTTAACGCTAGCGTACCAACACCGGACCGCCGTTCTACGTAACGTAACTTCAGGTTCCTGGTGATTCTCACACTCAATCCAGAAAGTTGTTGATTTTGGCAACAAACCTGTGGATTTGCGAGTGATCATTCCGGTTTGCGACGACACAAATGAGGAATACTACGTAAGCTATCTAATCAAAGATGATGTGTTTGTTACGTCATATAATACGCATTGTCAATTTATGCATACGGGAAATTTTTTTTTAAGCATGCAATCCAGTTATACTTCGATTACTGTACTGTGCTGCACTTTTTTCTTTTCAAAAAGTGACACATTACGTAATTACTTTTCAAGTGCTATGGCGACGCGTCACGCTTACGTTCATCCTTCTGGAAGTTATTTTTAGGGTTCAAGATTTTAGTTCATGTGATTTGGCTCGTGTTCACGAGAAAATGACTCAACTTGAGTAAACAAATACGCAACAGCACACAGTCAAAAGCGTGCTTGTGAAGATCGGTTTCAGATGTCAGATGTTAATGTTATCATATACATCAGTATTATCTTTATCATCTTCGTAATTGGTGTGAAAAGGAATCATTGTATCAATACGCGAATTGCTGACTTCCTCTCTGCTACTACATTTGGGAACATCTGGGGGGTTTTTCGGAGTTGACATTTCACACCAACCGCCGTATACCCACCAACGGACTTCTGCATCATTCCCCAAATCAGAGGCATTTGCACGCGCTCCGAACGAGAACAGTTGTATTCATTTACGTTGAACCAACAGAAAAAATTTAATGAGTTTTTTTTTTATAAATGTGTATTCTTCTCCTCAGATTTCTCAGAAGGGCACCACCACCCAAAGTTTTTCTTTTGCCCATATCGCGTGATACTCCAAAGATGAATTCTCGAGCCATTGACCTGGCAACGCAAATCCAAGTTCAAAGAACGTCGGTCTTTCCTGCTCCTCAGCAAAATAATCCGGCAATTATCCTACCACTCTTAACTCAGCGAGGATCCAGGAGACCCTATCAAGGATTTCATCTATTCTGCATTAACTTCACGATAAGAGCCCAAAGTTTAGGGGAAGAAAATATTTTTGTGATCAGAAAGGCTGCCAACCATCTTTGGAATTTCAGCACGCGTGATGAAAAATTGGGATATAGTATCTTGGCAAAGCAAGTGAATGAGCTTCTCGGCCTGAACAGAAGCATGTGACTCAATAACTATCCCCGAATACTCTAAATATATGTACTGTATATACCAATGGGAGTCAACTTTAAGATGATCTCAATAACATACCTTTGGTTGAGCAAAGCTCTCATCTTTGAAACTTTTTTCCTCGTACTGAAACAACCTGCACTTGGAGATGCATGCTTACATAATTTACGAACTTGGAACCAATTACGTCGAAGAGATCGAAAAAGATTAAGCTTGGCTACCGTGTATATATTTTACCCGATTGTCCTATATGCTCCAATCACTCATCTTTTTTTGGTTTGACATATTTCTATTTTTTTAAAAAAAATCACGTATTAACAAACATGCCTAGAATATAGAATCACGATAAAATTATGTAGAATATGTAAGATAGCAACTTTAAAACTTTAAATGTATTTTAGTTAAAATACTGTCATTTTCTCTTATGCATAACACGATGTACCATATATATTCAAAAGTTTATCTAAAGTTCACATTACAAAATCATAACATACAGTAGCTTAAAATGTAATACATATAATATATACAGTACATACATCATATATTTTATTACTTGATTGTGCTAATGATAAAGTATTATTATTTTTTTTTTTTATTAAATAAATATTAAATTGCATTTATGTATTTATTTGTGATTTTATTTTTAAAAAAAATTTCAAGTCCTCACGACTTCATTTCGTTCTACGGAATTTTGCAAATAACGTCAAGTAACTTTTTTACGGGCATGCATATACTGTATGTGATTATTAATAAATGCACTTTATGTATAAATTTGTCAATTTTTTTTTTTACAAAAATCTTTATTAATTCAAACTTTTAATTTATCTTTAAATAATTGTTAAGAAAATTTATTACCGAAATTTTCAATTAGCATTAGCTGTTAGTATTTTTTTATTTTTTTCCCATCCGGTTTCGAAGATCCGATCATTTCTTTCGGGATCGATTAACATCCGTTACCTGTTTCAAACAGAAATAGTTTCACATACGCATCCATATGATTGCCAGGGTTCCTAGTTGACATGTTTATATTCATAACCTTGATCTAAATTTTCGTAATTGGACCTTCTTCGTTGAATTTTCCAGGACTTTGCAGTTTCCTTGGCCGCATACGAAACCTCTGGATATTCTTCCTCAATTTCATTCAATAACAGTATGGAGGTAGGCGTTTTTGTCACATCCGGCATGTTGAACCAATCCTGATTTTTCATTTTTTCAAACGAGTCGGCCAACATTAATAATGTTTTTTGATGTGGGAATTTTTCAACAAGATTTAAAAGTCTCTTTTTCTCTCTCAGGGACTCTGTGGAATATTCCTGATCAAAATGCTTCCAAATTTCTACCTGTTGATTCCATCCCTCCATCAAATATTTGTCTATGATGCTACAAGCGTCCTTGACTTTACCGGACAATATGAGACTTTGTGCGTAATGATTCCAATTATGTGAATCAAATTCGAAACCCTCTTGAGCCAGCTTATTCCATTCTTCTTGAACCACGTCATATCGTCCTATTGCCGTGAGTGCGTCGATCATAACAGAAACCGCATGACACGGTGGCAGCTGGGATTTTAATAGGGAACTGAGAGGTGAGTCAAAGGAATGCAGCAATGATTCCGAAAAATCATTTTGAGTTGTAATTCCTGAATTTGGTTTCACATTTTGTGGAAGTATAGGATCTGACCTAACTATATGCGATTCAACCCATTCTATTAATGTCAAGTGCGATGTCGTCAATTGAGAATCCTTGCGCAAACCCTGCCATAGTTGCCACACGGCCTCATAATTGCGAATACGACGGTAAGCATCCATGAGGATTACGTATGCATGTGCGTTACGCGAAACACCCAACGTTGACATTGTGTCAAAAATCGTCCTGGTCTCATTGATTTTCCCTAGTTTGGCGTATGAATCCATGAGAGGTGTAAATACTGTTGGAGGTATGTCACTTTTTTCCTCCGATAATTTGCTTTGAAATACTAGTTCCGAGACAATCTTCTTGGCAAACTCCAAATCTCCATATTGTGCGTGTCCATGAATTAACACGGCATATGTAACATACGTAGGTTTTATGCGACGCTTTATCATATTCTCGTAGAGCGTCCTTGCATTCTTAAAATCACCGTGTTGTAAATGACGATGTATGAGCACCGTGTAAATGTGAGCATCTGGTTCCAGTTGATGGTTGTTCTGCATATGCTTGAAAAGTGCGGCTGCCGTTTCCAACTTGCCTATTTCGCAGAATCCATCTATCAAACAACAAAAAGTGTATACATCAGGACGTACAAATGATTCCAGCATTTCATTATAAAGCTTTTGAGCGCGTGTCATATCTAATTTTTCTACGTATGCATTTAATAATACATTGTAGGTGATGGTTTGCGGCTTTACTCCTGCAAGCTCCATATCCATAAATATTTCCTCCGCTTTACGTATATCCTCAGCTTTAGCATATGCATGAATCAGATTCGTATATGTGTGTGTGTCTGGGACGATGTTGTAAGCGCGCATTTCATTAAATAGGATGGATGCGCTATTTGGATCTTTCCTTTCAGCAAAAAGCGATATTAGAGCATTGTATATGTAGACATCTGGCTCTATACCAGATGAGATCATTATACGACAAATCTGGAATGCTTTATATATATCGTTCTCACGGCAATATCCAACGGTTAACATGCCATAAGTGATTTTAAGAGGGTTGACACCGTCCGCCAACATGTTACGAAAAACCCTTTCCATAGATTGTGTATCATTTGCATTGGAAAAAAGTTCGATCAACGAGGTATAGATAAATTGATCTGGTCTCATTTCAAGGGTGCGCATTTTATCCAATGCCCAAAGCGCGGAATTTACTCTGCCCAGTTTTGCATAAGCATTTATTGCCTCCGAGAAAGTTCGCAAGCTAGGTTTCGTTTCTTTTTTTGAAAGCAACTCATCAAAAAGCTCTTTTATCTTTTCATGATTTTCCGTGAGACCATAGGTCTTAATCAGCACGTTGTATGACACGGTGTCAAGAGGCACATTCAATGATTCCATTTCTTGTGCTAGACGTAGCGCTTCATCAATCCTTTCTTGCTTTCCGAGTTGATCGATTAGTGAATTATAGATATAAGGACCGGGAATCATTTCAAGCGATCTCATTTTTTCATATATTCGAATTGCATCATTGAGGTTTTTTTTTTTAATCAAAAAGAGCACGATTTCTTTTACTAAGTTGGAGTCCACGAGTCTCTTGTCCATTAATTCGGTAAACCATTGAATTGAATTACGGTGATAATGAAATTCAAAAATGCCCGCTAAAATATTTTTGGTCTCTACATCGGGAAATATTTGTTTCTCGTGCATTAAGGAATATATAAAAGTCACCTCCTGAAGATCATTTCGGGGCATTCCGTCTTTTGTCAGCTTCGGGTGTCGGTATCCGTACGCCTTCATCATCATATTGCAAGCAGTACGATATGGGCATACCGGTATTCTCCCAAGTGGTCCTTCCAGGTCCTTGATTTCTTCAAAAACCATTCGTGCCTTATCTAAATTTCTATTATTCAGATATGCTTCTATTAGATAATTACGAACAGTTTGCCCAATTTCCATCTTTGCTTCATTCATGTCATTATGAACCATTTGAATTTTTTCCAGGCAGCTGGAATGATCTTTGTCAAATTTTTTGATTGAACTCAGTAACCTATTTATGAGTCTTCTGTCCATGCCTTCCAAATTTCCGTTCTCCACTATCGATCTATATTCCTTCCATATTACATCAATATCCTCAGTGGTCTGGAATAAGTTACGCAAGGTCTTGGTCCAAGAAGTTGCAGCCGACGACCGCTGTTCAATTTTAACGCCTTCATCCTTATCAATATCCAAGTTATCGACCGTATCTTCATCTTTGTTTTTTCCTTGATCCACTAAGTTTTCTTCGGAAACCGCATTTCCACCATTAACATTATTACTATTTCCTCGCACAAAAATTCGATTGTTATCTCGTATTATTATTGATGAATGTATTATGGATTTAAGTGATTGTGTCAACTGCCAATTCGTGAAAAAATGCTTAGCGAGTAACTTTCCCGAAATGTCATGAAGACACCTTCTGTATGCACGCGTTTTTATTGATGAGTTTAAATGTGATACAGTTTTTAGTTGCCAACAAAGTATAACTATCTTAGAATTTTTAGATTTTACGAAAAGCGAATTACAAAACATGTTCCTTTTTTTTACTTGCCTCCGAAGATTCACGGTCGCGCCTAGCCTCGATAACAAAAAGATGTCCAAGATCAATTTACTATTGGCAGATGCATTTAACATTTGACACGTACTGCATATGACCGAAAATAAGCAATCTAAAATAATCTAAAATTTTTTTTTTTTTTTTTTTTTTTAATATCAAAATCATGTTATATTAAGTTGTATATAAAAAATCTTTGAACAAATATTTTTTATAATAAATAAATAAATACTTATGCATTCAATATAAAACTTTAAAAAAAAATATTTTTTTTTTCGAATATAAAAAATAAACCATTCAATTTTTTTTAATAAACTTTAATTTTTTTAAACTAAAAAAAAATTTTTATATATACAATATATAAATTGTATATACAATGTACATTCAAACCTGGATATAACGAAGCCTTTGGACTAATTAACAAAAATTTATATAATAAAATTCTTTTTTTATAATGAATTTTAAGTAAATTCAAAATTCAAAAATTTGTTATAACCAGCATTTTATTATAGCTTCGTTATAAACAGGTTCATTATATCCAGGTTTGATTGTAATTGAAAAATTAATTTTTGCTAAATAAAAATTATTTATAAAAAAAAATTTTTTTAATATATAAATTAATTCTATAAAAATTATTATTATTATTATTTATTTTATATAAAACCAATATTTAAAATTTTTAAAAATTTTGATTTTTATATTTTTCACTAAATTTTAATTAATTAATTACAAAATTAATCAATTAATTTTAAAACTTGTTAAGAAAGTTATTTTTTTAATGATTTTTGTTTTCATTTACAAATTGATGAATTTAAACTATTGTATATGATTTATTTATTTATTTATTATGATTTAATTTTATTAATATTTTTTAAAAAAATTTTTTTTTCAATATGACAATTGATTTTAATAAATTTTAATAATATAGTATATTGATAAAAATCTATTAAGCAATTGGTTTTTCATATTCTTATTAAAATATATTCAAGTATTTATTGAATTCCAAATGTAAAACATAAATTAAAAATTTGTCCAAAAACATTTTAAACAATCTGTATGTATATTGTAATTTATTTTGTTTTTTATTTTTTATTTTTATTTTTTTTTATACAGTAATAAATATGTTATTTTATATTTATATGACTTTATAATTTAAAATTTGCAATTTTAAATTTTTTAACAGTAAAAAGTACATTATAGCATTTGTATACAAAAAAATAAAACGTTTTCAATTAAGATTTATTTAGTAAAAACATAATAAAAATAAAAAATTCCTAATCCGAATACTTAGCATTTATACTTTTTGATAGATCTGATTGATTTTTTATTTATATATTTACATGGTATATTTACAATGTATTCGTAGAAAGGAATAATAGTTTTTGTGTAAACTGCCGACCCTCCCAACACAATTTATAAATGATATGAGAAAGGGTACTAGGATGTTTACGTATAATTGATTTGATATACGCAACCCATCTTGACACTCTAATATCAATTTAAATATTTTTGATATAGAGCAACACTAGGGCGATTGATCAAAGAAACAATCTACATCTTTAAATGCAAGCAAAGGACTCAAATTTTCTTTGTCAATTAATTATAACATAAATTAATTTCCTATTCCCGTTGGTAAAATTTCTTTTTTATAATTTACTTAAATGAAATATACAACATTATACCGTTAATATCAAATTATTATCTCTTTCTATATTTCTTTACTGGTAATTCTTCTTGCTGACTTGATTTTGACTTGCTCAAAAAATTCAGAAATGGATTATTTTCCGATGGTTCTGACGATGATTTACTTTCTGGTACATGTATTTGTTTAGGTATCTTGAGGTATTCACGAATCCCTTTGTTATTCAGTGCCATCGTTTGTAAAATACTAAAGAAACAGGAACCCGTGAAGTATACGAGAACAGACTTTGATAATACGTAAAAAAAGAAAACTTTGTATTATCTGATGAAGTTATTTAACATTGCAGAACAAAACGATGAAATTGTTTACACATACTGATGGTAGATTCATTGTAATCGGAAAGGATAATACAGTTATTCCACGAATAAACCATCTCAATGTTTGCATTTGACCGTCTTTGACTTTGTTAACTCCGCTACCCATCTAAATACACAAAGAAGAATCAGTAACCATTACCAGATAATCAAAATTAATATATATAGAATAGTAAAATAATTACTTCAACTATTGAAAGAAAGCCGGCAGTCGTCAAAGCTGGTAATATGTAATAGGGGTCAGGAATGGTAAGATCTGTGAACCAGAGCATGCCTCCAGTTTTGAAACTTTCTACTGGAAACTCTGCCATCTTCTTCGTTGCCAAAAAGAAACTAATCATTATAGGTGCCTGAATCAACGTAAGAACAAGACCCCTATACGGACTAGTATCATGACTCTTGTACAAATTTTTCATCTGCTCAGCCTTTTGAAGCATCACAGCGGTGTCGGAATATTTCTTCGCATCTTTTATTTCATCCATTAATTTTTTTGCTTTCGGTTGAATGTTCATTAATTTAACATTGGTACGCACCGCATCAATAGAGATGGGCACTAAAAGCAAACGCACTATTAATGTGCCGAAAAGTATTGTTCCCCACCATGGTATGCCGCTCAAAACGTGGATAGCTTCGAAAAAGGTCTCTACTCCACCAACGGGAGTGTAATGTACAAGACCCATGGCTTTTAGATCACCGAGCTTCATAACAGTCTCGGCCGTAACATTAGATGTAGCGGGTTCAAGAATTTCATTAATTGGGACAACTTCGAGAGTATTTGTGGTATCAGCACTTGATGAAACTTCCTGAGCTTGCACTATTGGTGTTTTCTCCGTGTTAAACGTGCTAGGAACAGTATAGAATCTTATCGAATTTGTAAATATGGACTTATTCTTTATTCTGTGACAATATAAGAATTTGTCTTGACACAATCCCGGAGAACTTATAAAAAGTTGCCCTGGACATGATCTACGGAGGTTTGATATAGACAAACTTGAACCACTTGTCGAAAACTATTTTAAGGTTCAAGTGAAATTGTGTTCATATTAAAAAAAAACGCGAGTATACTTAAGTAAATGGAATATGCTGACCTTTCGTGAAACGTTTGATGCATTCAATAGCTGTAGTCGCGAAAGTCTAAAGGTCACGAAGCTTATTAGGCGATTTTACAGAACATAAGTAAAAATATTCCATTAGACATACGTGCGACTTGAAGAACGAATTCGTAAACTAAACATTGTGGCTAAGCTTGAGGTGGTAAAAAAATTTTTTGAATAGATTACACAAGTTTGCTGCTTATCAATCTTAGATTTAACAGTACGCGTCAAAAAGAAAAAAAAATTTTATAATTGTCGGAGATGATGATGGCTGATCATTTAAATTATCCAGCTAGAATTATAATAAACCTGGCCAAAATTATTATTATAAATTATTTTTATTTATATATTTGACATATCTAAAATTTCATTAACTTAAAACAAAATTGTTTGAACTATTATAAGATTTGTTATTAGCAAAAGCATCAGTATTTCTTAATTGATCCTATCAAGTACTATTAATTTCAATAAAATAAAAATAACTTTTTTATACTTTTCAATTTTAAATTTATAAACATATTTAAAAAAAAAAATAATTACAATAATTAGCTTTATTAATTCTATTCCAATTGATTCAAATTTCAAAATTTAATTAATAATATTTTTTTAAAATAATTGTATTAATTAAAAATATAATTTTAATTACTTATTTCTTTTTTTTTTAATATTAAAGTAAGACATACTCATTATCTTTATTAATAGAGTAAAGGTTATATGATTAATATTAAGTTATAAATTATATTGCTATAGATATTAGCTTATCACCTATTTAACAAATATATTATCTGAAAAATCTTTGAGCAAGGAAAACTTAAGAAATTATCTGTTATGAAAAATAAAAAATAAAAAAACATTTGAGACAAGATTGCTATAATGTAATGAAATTAGAGAAAGAAAAAAAAAATTAAAGATAATATTGTAGCTTTTGTTAAATATGATTCTTGAATACAATTAATTGTTTTAGTTGGATAGTAGTGTTACACAAGCTATAAATAATTTATAGTTACTTATTTTTTATATTCAAAAAAAAATTTTTTCTTATATATATTTTTTTTTATAAGTAAACATCAATTTTTTATTTATTTGTATATTTTAAGATATACTTTTAAAAAAAATTAATATCTCTTAAGTACAAAGCATATAACAAGTTAAATGATAACTTGCTTATTAATACTATAAATAGTTAATACTAAAAATAAAATTTAAATAAAATTAATATTAAATATAGATCAAATAGTAACTATACTTATTTATTTAATAAAAAAAAAGTTTATGATATAAGAAATTTAAAAAAGAAAAAAGAAATATAACTAAAACTAAAACAAAATTAAGTAAACTATAAAATCTATAAGAAAAAAAATAAATTTTCCAAAGAACGTCCTGATTAGACTTATTATCTTGTTTTTCCAGTTCTTTATGACTTGTAAATAGGATCTTTATTGATTATAGATAATAAAGTATAAGTAATTTATATTGTTATGAATATAAACTGATTTAAACTGATTTAATTGTTTTGATTTGATTATGTAATATTTTTTGATTAAACAGTTACTAGATATCAATCAATTGAATAAGATAGATTGATTTTAATTTTTATAATTAAAAAAGATTATGGATTTTTTTAAATAATACAATAACACTAGTTGAAATTGATTTATTCGATATAATATCACTTATTAATCATTTGTTAAAAAAGTATATAATTTGACTAATCAAATTTATATAACTTTTATCTTCGGCTATAAAGTGATATATAATTTATTCAATATATAAATAATACACTTTTTTTAAATCTCATTTTGAAAAAGTTAATATTTTGATAGTAAAATAAATAAATTATTTTTTGTATCAAATATATATACAGTTCCGGCAAAAAAAAATGACATTTTTTTTAATTTGAAAAAAATTAAATTAAAAAAAACTTTTTTATTATAATAATATTAAT